CGTTCAGCTACAAACCCATCCACTAGAGCTTGAACCCATGCTTGCTCAAACCATCTGTTTTCTCTTCTAACGAGCATGGCTTCCCTGTCACCTACACTAGAGACGTCTCAACAGTTTAGTTTATTCATAAGCCTAGTACACAAGGAGGGTTTTAGCACGCACTAGTTGTACTGTAGTATGATCTGGTATCAGCTGCTGTCTCTCCTTGCTATTATAGTGTAGTATAGGTCGCCTCAAACTCAAACAAAAATGGGTGCACAGTTCTACTGCGTCTTATCGAATAGTGCTTTTGAGTCAAAGTGCAATCACCATTTCATGTACACCATCTTTGTCAATATCTGCAATTACCTGTAGAAAGAATGTGAAAAATAACTCAAGGTCATTTACAAAACGAACAACAAAATATAAGAAAAAGGATACAAAAGGTTCACTTACTGGGGTGGACAAGATGTGAGCATAGATTCTCACGTAATCTTCCACTTTCTCATGTTCTTGTTCTGTCCAGTCCTCATCTCCCCACATGGATTCATCAACATAGTCATCATAATCATAATTGTACTCATCAGGCTGTTCTTCTGCATCCCGAAACAAATAAAATGATGTATCAGCGTCATCCTCTAGAGGCTCGCTATTTTCAACAGTGGCTACTCCTGAACGAGCTGCTCATGCTCAGGCGGCAGCTTGTTAAGATCAAAGTCGTGGTTGTTCATCATGGAGACCTGGACCCCTGCAGGTGCCATTTTTCCCGCTGCCAGGCTCCCACCAGAGAGAGATCCCATTTCCGTTTTTCTAGAGCAAGCTGGAAGCATAGACCCATACCTTGTACTCTCATTCTTTCATTTTAGCTAGCCATAATGGTATGTGCTTTGAAAGGTAGTTCTTTTTACTAGAAAGTACTTATAGAGGGCACTGAGGCGCAGCCTCGAGCTAGGCGAGATTCTCTATTGTTGCTTCTTATTAGCCAGATCCCGCACCAGGTTCTCTAGGCGGAACAGTTCCGTGATCTTATGAATCTACGACCAGACATGAATGTGGTTCAGAACCATAGATCGTGGGTTAGCCATCCTGTCATAAGGCTTCTTTACACGCCATGGTTGCGGAACAGCCATGGCCCTTCTTCCATGAGCTTCTGCCAGTCGCCAAGGCAGAAAACTGGAACAACAAACAGGTTGTCCTCCACCGCTTGGAACATCACACCTTGTGCCATGTTCCAAGCGACCTGCATCGTTGAGAAAAAGGATTGGCTACTGAAGGGATGCGGCGTGGCCACTTTTGCAAGGGCCATCCACCGACCCTTCTACTATCGCTTTTAGTATTGTCTACTACTATACTGGCTACAAACCTATCAGTCTAATGAGCATACTTGGAGAATGGAGAACTTCCCGCCTATAATGTTGGGTTGGCAACCTACCCATTCGTTGAAGTACTTCCTTCATACGGCCCAAAGAAAGGCAGCTAAGTCGTCTTAGTTCGTGAACAATGACCCAGGTGCATAAAAAGGAAATCAAGTTTGGGAAATGGTACATGGCTAGTATTTATGCCGAAATCTAGTGACATTATTTACTAATACTATAGTCAAGAAGTAAAGAGTAAAACGCTTACCTAACTTCTCACTTAAATGTTTACTCGCGTTACTGGTATTCAATAAAACAAGGAAACCATGGTACCTACCTACCTCCCTTACTTGGTAATCTAAGAACGCTTCAGGGGGGAGCAAGAGATCTTCCATACCAACATTTTGCTCGCCACCCCTGCTTCCACCTCCACTTGAGCTTGTGCAGCAAATCTACTTTATGCTTAGGCCAGGTCCTGCAAGTAAAGAGAAGTAAATATTGGAAACATGGGTATCTAGTTTATTTTATTCAACGCCTGAGTAATTGAAATTCCTTGCTTCTTCAAGCAGGAGATCCCGAGTACCGGGTGTCGTCAGACTCCCATTCTATTACCTTTGTGTCAAGAGCACGTTAAGCTGCCTGGGCTGTTCCACTACCGGCGTGTAAAGAAGCTCCGCCTAACGGCTAAACCAATGAATTTCTCTCCTTAAAGGAATCTACTTCCCTGACTGTCAACTACTCGCTTCTTCACCGGTATCACACCCGCGCCAGACTGAACAGCAGAGTTAGAACCCAACCAAATACGATTCTTGTATTATCTTACAGAAATTCGGATCCATTTGGCTCCAAAGGAGCAAGCGCAGGAGTTCTAATAGGACTTTGAGACTAGAAAAATCATGTGGGCTGCTGAGAACAGAGAGAAGTAGTTGCAGAGAGGTTTGATAGGGTTAGGCAGATGCCCCATTATTCTTAAACAAGAAGAAATCTAGATTAGTTTGATGGACTTGTGGCTTAGCACAAGCATGGTGTCAATGTGGTTCCTCTCGACTAAACACTTAAACAATTGGATCCAGTAGGGTTCAATAGAGATATGGTATCGGCAACCTTTTAGGGAGCTATATTCTTTGGAATAAGATAGCTGCCCAGAGCTTGCGACGTAGCCCCTGGGCGTAGATAGAATTAGGTAAAATAAAAATCCATTGGAAAGTCCTAAATTATACCAATTCAATTCCGTCTACTAGAATAAGAAAAAAGTGCTTCCGTATTTCTCTCATCCTTTATAATGAGAATTTCTCTTTGTTCAGTAATAACTTAATCTTGCAATAAAACACACTTGCTTGGAAGGTATGGTAAAGTTAAACTGTTTTTATTTTTCGATATAAAAAAGAGAGTGCTAAAGGAGTCATTCAGAAGTGAGTGAAGGGGAAAAGCTCATTTCTTTCATTCGGGAATGGACACTGGACCAGAATGTAATGTAGGAATATCAGGATTGGCAGATTTTTTATATTGAAATAAAAAAACTCAACATGACTAGTGAATTCAAATTAGAGTCACTTGCGGATTTCTTCAAATTGTTGTAGTGTAGTATTGTGGTTTTTCAGTAAAGACCCCGACCTATAAATATTCACAGCCCAGCTCATACGGGCGGACAATATTCACCCAGAGCCCCGTTGCGACCGCAATGCTGTTCTTGAAGGACCTTACCTTAGAGCAAAAAAAGGGAATAGAATTTAGGAAGACTACTGACGTTGGGCAGCGGGTGAGCTCAACCTCGAACCGAACAAGCAACGGATTGAGCAACTAGTGCGAAAGCCATTGCGCGTTAGCGCATCCGTTTTCTTGCTCCATCGTTATTAGTCTCTATTCTCTCCCTGCACGAACCTCGGTCCAATCAATTTGTTTGGAATTGGGGTTAGGACCGGTTAGAACTCCCATTTCCCGATCGGAGGTTTGAGCTACTATGGCAAGCTTTTTTTGAATAGTGGGTATGGGGAACCCACCGTACCAACATGATTGGCTGGTGTTGTTGATACCGAACCCGTTATAACCCCAATTGGAAGGGCAGGCCAGTCTAAGGCTCTGGGGATGCGAGGCCATCGAAAGTGAGTATCCCATATTCTATGACGGAGATAGAGCACTAATTGCAGTTTTCACCCCACCTTAACGACCGAGCAAGGGATGAAATCTTTCGACGACTAGGGAGGCGTCACCTGAGGCCGATTCCAGTGGATCACTATAGAATCTTCTAGAAGCAGGTTCTTCGGGCACTATGGTAGGACGTGGATCGAGCATGACGAGAATGGACATCTCCGTCATGTAATGGCTTAGAAGAGTCACGATCCTGTTCCCCGCCGGGCTTTTTCCCTTCTCAACTAGACGAAGGAGATATTCATTCCATTCAGGTAGGTGAGGAAGGGCGGCCTCGGCTTGACCCTGTCTTCTCTCTTGGTCGTGACGGAGGCTAAGTTTCTCATTCAGTGGTGAGGTGTTCATAGAAAGCAAGGCCTCGCCCATTGAGTGGCGGATTTGGTTTGGATGGGGTCTCGCTTGGACGCTGGGGAGATCCATAGATCTGGATAGAGTCTTTCTCGCTCAGTAAAGAAGAGTACGCGCGCTACAGCTTACGCAGTGGATCTTCGGGCAACCAACCCGGCACATCCAATTCCGATCAACAACTTGGAGGTATGGCTGAGTGGCTTAAGGCATTGGTTTGCTAAATCGACATACAAGAAGATTGTATCATGGGTTCGAATCCCATTTCCTACGGCACGGAAGTAGAACGGGCAGGCGAAATTACGTGAGAGAAAGAACCTCAGATTGATGGAGTCCGCCGTCGGACAGAATAGCTGCTTAGTGACTAGGAGCGGAGCGCCCATTTCTTGTTCTTGGTGGTGTCTATAGCGAAGAAGACCTCCGCGAACGAGGGCCTGGCCGGCTCTCGGTTCTTGAGCAAGCACCTCCACTGCAGGTAGGATGCTCATAGATGAAGAAAAGAGACTTTAGGCAAGTGGTTCCGGTAGCTCAGCTGGTTAGAGCAAAACAAGCAACAGATTGAGCAACTAGCACGAAAGCCGTTGCACGTTAGCGCATCTGTTTTCTTTTTGGACTGCAAATCCTTTTTTTCTTGTTTCAGTGCGAAGAGCAAGGGGCATTGCCCTGGAAATCCTTCAGTGGTTTGAATCCACATCTGAGCGTATTTTTTTCGGTATGCCACTCCGCAAGCAAGGAGCGCCGCGAGGAGAGCGAGAGAACAAAGTGGGCTTTGTGATGTCGGAATTTGCACCTATTTGTATCTATTTAGTGATCAGTCCGTAGTTTCTTTGATTCCACTCGGTGTTCCTTTTCCATTTGCTTCCAATAGTTCGACCTATCCAGAAAAATTGTCAGCCAACAAATGTGGTTCCGATCCCTCCGGTGATGCCAGAAGTCGTTTCGATATATGATTTTATCCGGTTCCTATTTTATTTATTATCCCTGATCCGAAAGTCACCTTTTCTTTTCCTTGGGCAGTACCCCCTAACAAGATTGATCTGTTTGGATCTTGGTCCATGATGGCCTTTTTATTGATTTTGATGATTGGATCTCTCTATGAATGGAAAAGGGGTGCTTCGGATTGGAGTAACCACTTTTGAAAGGGCAAAGGGGGGAAGGACATAGGAAAGAGGGATGCCTACAAAAAATCAATTGATTCGCCATGGTAGAGAAGAAAAACAGCGCACGGACCGTACTCGACCTACGGATCAATGTCCCCAAAAGCAAGGCGTATGCCTGCGTGTTTCGACGAGAACACCGAAAAAACCTAATTCAGCTCTACGTAAGATAGCAAAAGTATGGTTGAGCAATCGACATGATATATTTGCTCACATTCCAGGCAAAGGTCGTAATTCGTAGGAACATTCTATAGTCTTAGTCAGAGGAGGTAGAGTGAAAGATTCGCCAGGTGTGAAATCCCATCATATACGAGGAGTCAAGGATTTGCTGGGAATTCCGGATCGTAGAAAGGGAAGATCTAAATATGGTGCAGAAAGACCTAAATCGAAATGAATGAAAGATGCCTCTAGAGCTTTTGGGTTCTTTTTTGGGGGCGATACGGAAGCAGCTAGCTCCCTTTCCCTTATTACGTTACCATTTCTCGCCGCTATTCTTCGCTTAGAAGGGCTTGACTTACTTAACTTACCGCTTTCCCGAAACTAGCTAAAAAAGGGTCAGGTATACCTGCTTGATGAGATAGGGTTTTTTCTAAAGCGGGAGCTGCTGTCGGTATGGGCAATTTCTTAAGTTCTTTGATTGATTCCGTCCCCGAGTGCTACCAAAGTTCCTCTAATTCCTCAGCCAGATATTTCCCTTTCCAGACTTTCCCGATAGCGGAATCGATAGATGTTACCACGGAGCGGTACCTAGCAACCTTCATTCCTGCTTTTCCATCTTGCCTTTGCTACCTGAGAGAATGCCTTTGACCGAGCAGCTCTTCCACTCATTTTATTAGCAATCAAACCTCTTCCCTTCAACCCGTACCGAAGGCTATGTCCCAGTAAGCATTTCCTCTGTTTCATTGTTTCCCACCTCTGACCTTCCGCTATGACATGACCAGTCCACTAATAAGTCAGGTATCTCTTAAAAGTAAGACCGTCCTCTTCCCTTCGTCAATAGAAGAACTCCAACCATGCTTTCTTGAAATAGCAGTTATTGTCTTCCTGGTCAGCTTTCAATGAGTGACTCTTGGTTGCAGGGCCAGGGGGACCTACTATCTACTTAACTGCTAGGCAAAGAGGGAGGATCCAGGAAGCGGGTGTTTAGTGAGGAAGAGACAAAAAAGCATTTCGTCGATAAAGATGAGTGCTTTCGATCGGCTTGTTGCACTAAAGCTGCGAGGTTCTTTGATCGAATCAGCTCTTTGCGTTTACTTTCATCCCATCCCACTCTCTTTCTTCTTTCGTTTTAAGAAAAAGAGAAGGAATTTTAAAATCCTTCTTATCCTTCTATACAATCCAATCATGCAGTCTAGTTCTACTTTACAACGATATATCTAGCTTTTAGTTTTGTTGAACCGTGCTTATCTCAGGAAATGAGGATAACTTAACGGAGCCCAAACTCATTTGAAATAGGTTTTCTAGCCTTTGGCTTAAATAGAAAATCCGGCTAACTTGTGAGATAGAGATAATTTGAAATAGGTTTTCTAGCCTTTGGCTGGAACAGGATGGTACCTTATGACTTCAACTGGAAATGGCTTGCATGGATCCGAAAAAACTCAAACCAACTATTCAACAATTAGTGGGACCTAGAATGAAACTACCATTGTCTTCCCATACTCATCTACATCAACCACCGGCTACAGAGGGAGCTAGCCTGGAAAGAAAAGGAAATGAATGGAGGGTATAAGTATTTCACTGGTAAAATCCCTTCATTAAAGACACACTCAAAAATAGTTTGTTTCAAAGAAAAGGAAATACCACTGAAGAAGATCTTACTTTTTTGCCATTAACTGAAATCCCAGACACTCTGTTAAAATGAGTCATGATACTAGTAAGCTCTTGGATAGAATTCAGATCACCACCGCTGAAAAAAAGATCATCTGCAAAGCACGGATGGTTGAGTCTGAGCCTCAACCAGCCTTTGTGAAAAAACTAGATTGCAGCTGATTTTTCTGCTTCAAAGCCCTATATTAGAGTTACGACCGTCCACCAATAGAATAGAGACAGCAAAAGAAAGGGACAATATATTGGAATCTAAAGCCAGGGAGCTTCTAAATACCCGGGGAATTAGCCTGGATGATGATGAAGACATCTACCGTGAAGCAGCTCTTATTTTATATGGGAAAAGGCGTTATCAAGTCAACTATGCGATCCGGGCCTTAAACCGTGTAACCTCCAAAACCTGGAAGGACTTCCTGGATGAATTAAGAAAGTTGAGTGGGTCGTTTAGTTTATATAGATGAAATAGAATATATAAAAAGTTTGATCTATTCTGTTGAAATAGAATACCCTAAAAAAGATCTATTCTGTTGAAATATAATACCCTAAAAAAGTTTTCTAAACATGGGCCACCATTTGTATTCCGATGAAATGCTATCACCCAGAAAACAGAGATTGAAAGGATAGTAGAGGAGTTGTTGCAAAATGCTATAATCAGGCCTAGTACATGCCCCAAAGCAGCTCTCGTGTTGTAGAAAGATGGAACCTAGAGAATGTGTTTCGACTATCGAAAACTAAATGCACCAACTATGTTTTCCAAATACCCCATTCCTATCATAGAAGACCGACACTTTTGGATGAGGTGTGTACTAAGATAGATTTGAGGGATGGTTATAACCAAATAAGAATGAAAGGAAGAGGATATCTACAAAACAACCTGAAGGACTGACTTTTTGAATTCAAGGTGATGCCCCGGCAACCTTTCAACAACTCATGAATAGTGTTCTTAAAGAGATATGTTGGAAAGGGGTATTGGTCTTCTTTGATGACGTTCTAGTGTATAGTTCTACCATGGTGGAGCATCTCAAGTTGCTAGAGGAAGTGTTCCAGCAGAACAAACTTTTTTGTGGGTGAGCCAAATTTCATAAAGGAAATACATTATTTATGAAATTGGGGTATCTACTGATACAAACAAGGTAGAGGGCATGACAGCTTGGCCAAAACCAGCCAATGTCAGAGAACTCCGAGGGTTGCAGGGGTTATTACAGGAGGTTTGTTCCGGGGTATGGAGCTATTAGCAGGCCTTTAACTGAGTTGTTAAAGAAAGGTGTGGAGAAGAAGCCAGAAAAGCATTTCTCAAGCTCAAAAGTTCTATGGTATGGTGATGCCTTTGAACATTGAGTGGGAGAGCGGCTCGAAAGAGTTGGGACAGACTAGAAGCTTTGAAGTTTATGTTCTTTAAAAAGATAATAGCAATCTTGACTTACATCCGGTCAAGATCCCCGTGAAGGAATGTTGATTGAACATCAAGCTGATAAAGAGGGAGTACCATACCCAAGATACTCCATTAAAGGAAAGGAATGCTTGTTTGGTTTCTTTGGTCCGAGAACAAACACCAAAAACTCTCGCAGTCGATGAGGAAACGTTAGTCAAATTACATTTCAGTAATCCGTCAGGCCTTAACCTCTACGCAAGGAGATCTTACATATAGACCCATGATTAGGTAACTACTTCTTTTATTCAGAGTATCCAATGGAAAGTGGGCCTCTATCTACAGGCCATGGATACCTGGGCGCCAGAAAGGTTACCGGACCAGGGTTAAGTGAGGCTGTTCAAACTTCACGGCCTTCACTATCGCATGTATATGAGTAAAATCAGACATCAGTATCATAACCTAGCATTATCCAGATCTTTCATTGATCCAGGCAATTTTAGGAAGGACTCAGCATTCTCTCACAAAAGGCCAGGCCTTGAGTTTCTAGCCGACTCATATAAGTCAGGGTGTCAATTTTTTCAGGTGACGTATCTTTCTCTCTAATGTTTTCCGTGGTCTCAAAGGATGATCAGCCGGATAGCGACATTGGTAAATAAAAAGAAGAAGTTTACATGCCGGGTTCATACTTCAGTGTCACTAATTAGCGACTTTTTTGCTCGTTTACCTACACCATGTAGACCGGAGGATTACACAGAATCCCATTGGCGAGTTTCAGACAGCTAGGTTATTCAAGAAACTTGGAATACCAACTCCAATGCTTGGCTTGCTGAATCAGCATATGGATTACTTCATTGAATTTCTCGGCCCGAGCTCTTGTCATTGGTCCAGTTGGCAGGTGGAGTGGATCCTTAGCAGGTTCATGTGCTCCTTGTTTACGTAGCTCTTCTGTTGGTTCAAGTAGCCCCTCCGCTGGATTACGTTGCTCTACCTTTGGATTACTTGAGTCATTTCTGGGTTTACTTGGCTGCTCCGAAACATGTTGGTTACTTGATCCTTTGCTTTGTTTACTTGGGAGCCTAATACTTATTGGTTGGGAAAATTACCTTCAAAGGAAAATGATCCTCCCACTGGACCGAAAAATCCATATATTCCCATGGGAATGGGTGGTGCTGAACAAGCAGGCAGGCCCAATGTTGTTTATCTTTACTGCAATCCTGGTTAGGTAAAAGGAATTCCGCAGCAGTGGGTACATGATTAGTTACAACTAACGGAAGGACCTATTGAAATAATAGGGAATTTCCTCACCCAGTCTACTCCTAGGACTACATCATATACTCCCAACTCCATGGCCAACAAATCAAACTTCAATCGATATCCTTGCATCTCCCACTGTACACTAGAACACAACCCATACAATCGGCCCGAAGAGCATCAATGAGCATGCCTACAAAATAGGCATAGAGATACATTAGCCGAGTTTGCTTACAACAACTGCTATCACTCTAGCACCGGAATGGCACCTTTCGAAGCACTCTACGGGAACCTTTGTCGTACCCTGATTTGTTGGGGTTGGCACGTACCGACCGACGGGGCCATAGAAGATGAAGGAGAGTGCCGAGAAGATTCCACTTATTCTAGATTAAAAGCAGTTCAGGACCAGGTATGCCGACCATGATATTTGGAGTTTGCAGTAGGTGATCATGCTTGACTTCGGCTTGAACCTACAAAGGGTGTGATGCATTTTTGAGAAGGATTAGGTATAGTTGACCGATACATCGGACCTTTCTAGGCCCATATCTCCTAGCCCTTACTCCCTTGTTTTGGTGGTTGGTCTCTACCTTTTTCTGTCTCTTGGCTAGTTTGTCATCCTCTTCTTTTTCAGGGTAACATAGTAAAAATCCTTTATTTCAGGGGATTTCCCTTTTCTTTCCAAATGAATTTATGCTTAGTCTAAAATTTGTAAATACCAAATAATATATATATATATATATTATTTGAAATATGTACCTCTTTCCTGAAACTAACAAATAGAGTTATAACTTTGA